CCTCAACACTCTGATTCAATTAGGCAACATCTCTATCTCAGGATTGCTGAGATCACATTCCCACTAAAAAAAAGTTTTTACAGGAACCTCCCAAAGGAATAAATTAAAGACGATAAAAAACTCAGCATTTGAAGCATATCTGATCAGTTTGTATCAATGAAAATAAATGGCACAACTGTGTTATATGAGACGGAGATGTGCCTGACAGAGACTGATTAGGATTACGGATTGAATTACCCTAAAAAGGAGAAAGAAGGCTGTCTTTGTGACACTGCTCTATTCTCTATTTGTCCACTCCATTCTGAGCTGGCAGCTGTCCTTCCTGAGCCTTGGAGGAAAGGCTGAAAGAGCATTCCTTCCTTTGGTCATCGATAGAATTTTTATTGAGCTTATGAATGTGAGACAGAAGAGAGTATGAGTTTATGGACAGATCTTTTAAGGTAACTTAGATTTGGGTTTGGTCCTCAAATTGATTACAACCTGGAGGGGAAGATAAAAGCTACAGAATTAAATATAAAACAGGGAAAAAAGTGAGTATTATGAGAAATACTGATTGTGAAGTCATGATATTGAAAATTGAAAATGTCTAATTTCCCATATGTGTCTTTGAAGATTTAGAAAGGAATATTCTCTCCCCTTCCAAATCTATGAACAGAGAATGCATTCTTCTGTCACAGAAATATCACTACCTGTGTGATTTGGGGGAGTCACTTCACATCCTTGGGAGTCAATCTCTTTATCTATAAAATAAGAGATTATAAACTAGGTGATCTGTTAAGATTTCAATTCTAATGAGGGTACAAGTAAAACAGTGCCTCCCATGCTTGGTAACCCAAGTCACCATTAGCAGAAAGATAAAGTGCTCAAGTTCATTAGAATCATATCAGCTCTGGGTTCATCTCAAATATGTAGCTTATAAATGTGTTTATTTTATTCCAATTCTCATTAATTAAATCACCCTCCATGGTAACAACACATATTACTAACACTGGAAAAAGTGGGCTTCTGTATTTGGGATATTGCTACTGGGAATCCTCCTCTGAAACTGTAGCATCAAATACATGTTTCTTTGTTTCTTATTCCTCCTGTTTCACTTCACATAAACTGCCTGCATTATAGTGGGGAGAAAACTGAATAACCTCAAACACTGTTCTTGAAAAACTTTAATACTACTCACATGATTCGGGCCTAAAAAGAAAAGAAAGTATTTAGGAACTAGAAATTACTGGCATCCCAGGGTAGGCCTTATAATGAGAAATACAAAACTGCTAGGTGTTTTATGTCTGTTCCCAGTTTTTCTACTACATTGCAATCTCTTTGAAACATGACAGGTGAAGTCTTGAAATATGCTCAAGTCCTTAAAGGAATATCTGAAATTCTCTAAGGGTCTGTCTGATCAATTTATTTTGATCAAAGAAAATCAATTATTCTGTTCATAGAAAATTCTAAAAGACTCAGTCACTATTTCCAGAACCAAATTTGTCAAAGTGTAAAATTCTGTTTAGAAGTCTCATAATAAATATTAAGCACTTATTTTGTGTCCATCAGAATGCTAGATATCAAGCACAATATCAAAAAAGCATCAATCTTGGTTTCTGACCTCAAGCAGCTCAGAACTTAGGTGAACACATAGAAAACAACCAAGTACTACTTACATGAAGAGATGGATCAGTGCAGGTGGTAATAATCAGAAAGAGTCTCATGAAAGAGAAGCAAAATTTAGAAAGACCTAAATTCTATAGCTTTGCCTTATCTGCCCCAAATATTGTCTTAAAATGACCAATCCACCCTCAGGGCTCAGTCAATCTGTTTCTGGTAAGCTGAGAATATCCAGAAGAAACAGACATAGAAATACTGTTTTCTACAGCATCCCATTGGTTTGGGGAAATATCTAGGGGGAGACTCCTCACATTCATATGATAAAGGGGATGACTTTGAGCAGCAATGTGGCCAGTTCCTCTGCCCACTGGCACAAGCAGAGTCACAAATAACAGAAACAAAAGGATCACTTCAAATTGTATTATTTAATTGCATGACCCACATGGAACAATCAACTCACTCCTAGGTTTGGCAGGGCCCTTCTGAGTTGATTCCCTGAAAAACAAAACAAAACAATAAAACCCAAACCAAACCAAAAAATAAAAAATATTTAAAAAAGAGAGACTCTGAGTGTCATCAGCTTTGCTCCATGTGGCTGCCTTGATAAGAGTTCAGTATTCTTTGTGTCATGAGAAAATTTTTATGATTAATGGAAGACAGAATATTATCCAGTATTAACAGTTCTTTTCCAATTCTGTATTATAAAATTATTTCTGATAACGGAAAATTCTCTATTTCTTTAAATTAATTAAAACATTGTAAGTCAACAGTGTATAAAAGAAAGCACTGGATTTCTGGAGAGGTGAGGCAGAATACTAAGGTAAAGAGGAATTATTATTCCTTTTCT